CCGCTCTAGATATGGCAACAGTATTCCATACAAGGCCGGATTTGAGATTTATAAAGATAGAGAATAGAATCCGGAGTAGGAGATGCAACCTTAGCAGATGCTAATTTTGCAACAGATTTGATCCCAGCTAGCACACTTACATTGGACCAACGTATGTAAAACCATTGCAAACGTCGGCTCTTTTTTCCAATGCAAAACCAACGTTGATCCTATATCATTTGGTAATAATAAAATTATTATTAACCATAATAATATTTTTGTTAATAATGATAAAATTATTATTAACCAATGGAAATAAAAAAACATCTGGCAAATTTACATTGGTCCAATGATGTAAAAACATAGCAAAAAGTTGATTGTTTTTACGATCTAAACCCAATGTTGATCCAATGTATATATCTCGACATTGATTCAATGTATATAAATCAACGTTTTTCCAATGTATGTAATAACATTGCAAAAAGTTGATTGTTTTTACAATCTAAACCCAACGTTGATCCAATATATGCAACCAAATATTGCTATTGCAAAATTATATAACTTAATTAAAATCTTCCGTTATTATTAAAATATTAAACCACAATCAGCACATAATTTTTGTTCGTATGATGAAGCGTTGGTAATCTAAAACATATTTATAGATACACAATGATAAAATCGTATATATATATATATGTATATATGTATTTATATATCAGGTTTATCCTGCTTAGGTCAGGTTTATCCTGCTACTGGTAACATTTAACCCAGTACAATCTGCTTCATGTCCTGCTGCCTTGTAGGATATGCCTTTTTAGGCAAAGGCTAGGAGATGCAAACTCCGACATAAAACAACCCCTGCCTTGGGGTTCTTGGTTGAGAAAATGCTAGAGATGGCGTCTCGATAAAAATACTCATCTTGGGCAGAGGTTACATGCATCCGGCTGCTGTCTTGTAGAAGGCCTCCAAGGCAAAGACTTAAGGGGTACACAGATTCTATCTGTTGACCAGCCTTGCACCCCTTCTTCATCTATTAGGCTGACGCAGATGTATTTTTAATACATCGTTTCCAGTTTAGGATGTTGAACGCTGGATCTTCTTGACTCGATTCATGGGTTTTGCTTGTGTCTCCGTTTTTATGACTAGGCAACTCATTCTATTATCTCCAAATGAGGGTACAGCTCTAAAACTCAGTTTTATGGTTCTGAGGCCGGCTGGTAGTCAGATTTTCCGAACTCTGTGGTAGCTCTCAGAATGGCTGATTCCATCAACAGCTGAAAAATATCAGAGTACTACTAGTGCCATGTTGCACATGGATGGTGTCCCTGTTTGTACTTTTGGTGTGCATTGCCAAGGCCACATTAGAGCCCTTTGTTATGGCTTAGGGTTTATTAGTGAAAATAAGGCAATTGCTTGAGCTATAAAACAGTGTACTGAGTACTATCTATGTTTCAAGTCAAGTTTTTTAACAAATTTAAAAATGAATAAAGTAACAAAAACTATAAAACACAAAAAGGATCTCACTTCTGCTACAGCATGGGGCTCACAGTGGCTGGAGAACTTTAATTCAGATAAAACTCAAGTTTTTTTCGGCTAATCGTTATCTCAATAATTTAGACCTTCCTATATTTATGAACGGTAATGTACTCAATGAGTCTCCTACCCTTCATCTTCTAGGACTAACTCTTACTTCTAATCTTTCTTGAAAACCTTATATCAAATCCGTTGCAAAATTAGCATCTGCTAAAGTCACTTCTCTTTATCGAGCTTGTCACTTTCTTACTCTGGATTCTATTCTTTATCTCTATAAATCTCAATTCCGACCATGTATGGAATACTGTTGCCATATCTGGGGCGGATCTACTAATGATGCCCTTTCTCTTTTAGCAAGGTGCAAAAACGCATTGTAAACATAGTTGGACCTGCTCTTGCAGACAAACTTCAACGATACGACAATGTGACTTCTCTATCACATCGTTGTAATGTTGCTTCTCTTTCTCTTTTCTACTAATACTATAAAGAGCACTGCTCTAAAGAGCTAGCGTTTCTTGTGCAATCTACTAAAATTCATTCTCCTGTTACTCGTCATTCAATTAAGTCTCATCCTTTTTCTGTTACTGTTCCTAAGTGCTCCAAAAACTCTTATTCCTCTAGTTTTTTTCCTCGATTATCAGTTCTTTGGAATTCGCTTCCTTCATCTTGCTTTCCTGATTCATATAATTTGCAATCTTTTAAGTCGCCTGTCAATCGTTATCTTGCTCTATAATCTTCGTTTTTTCTCTTCCAGTAACTTTCAACACTAATTAGTGGTTGCTTGCAGCCTTGTTGGAAGCGAAGATGTTTAAAAAAAAAAAAAAAAAATATTTGTAAATTTACATTTAATATTAAGTCGGATGTATATATATATATATATATATATATATATATATATATATATATATATATATATATATATATATATATATATATATATATATATATATATATATATATTATATCTATATATATTTATATATTTATGTATCTGGATCTGGAATATCTGGAAAACTGTTAATGTAAATTAAAAACCCTGAGGTTACAGAATAAGAAGAAAAGTACTGTCCATCTAGGAAAACTTTTATACTACGATTGGAAAGGAAGGATTCAATAATCTTAAAGATGTTACCAGATAAACCGTAAAAAGAAAAGCTTATAGAGAAGGCCAGCATGCCAAACTATATCAAACGGTTTAGAAATGTCAAGAGAGATGGCCTTAACTTCTCGAACTTTATCTAATGCACGATAAAACCTAATGGGACGGTAGTTAGACGAATCAGATCGCTCTCCAGAATTTTTGAAAATAGGGATAACAGATGCTGCTTTTCAGCAGGCTGGATAACAAGACTCTGATAAGCACTTGTTGAATAGTTTTGAAAGTATTGACGACACTTCTGCAAGACTATAACAGGTATATTTTTCGAGCCACTAGCTGTAGAAGAGTCTAAGGAAGAAGTCACTTTAGATACAGAAGCTGGAGTGATACGAATGTCAAGCAATGGATCAACCTGTTTGTCGGCTATATTAGATAGAACGCAATTAATGGAATCAAGAGATAATATTGATGAAAAGTTCTTAGCAAACAATTCAGCTTTGTCTTTAGGTGAGGTGACAAAGTCTAAACTATACAAGAGAGGCGGAATAAGAGATTTTCTCTTATTATTGATACTATTGAAGATTTTTCAGAAGTCACGAGAGCCTAGTTTTTGTGATAAAAAACGAGATTTCATGACCTGAGAATAGCGGGATTTGGTGTTAGAAAAACCTTTTTTATAATGGTTTCTAGCAGTAATAAACAGACGTCTGTTTTCTGGAGAATTGTTTTGCTAATAGATATGGAAGTAACGATTTCGATTGGAGATAGCAGCACAATGTGAGGAAAACCATGGAGAAAAGTGAAGCTTGATTTGGAATTGTCGAGAGGTAATAAATGATTCCATACCAGCCTAAATCCACTAAGTTATGTGAGAAGCACATTTGTCAGCAGGAAGACAAAAAGATTTCTACCCAAGGACAACCACGAAAAAAAATCACGAAAAGAGTCCCAGTCAGCTTTAAGGTAGTTGTATGAGGTACAATGATAGGGGGATTCAGATGATGAAGAAGAATGATATAATAGTTTTAGAGAGATAAAGCTGTGATCAGAAGCACCTAAGGGTAAATGTGGAGACATAAGTTGAGTAGAGAAGGTAAATGATTCGGGTTGTCTGGAAAGCGAGTCGGGAAAGTTGACTATTTGAGTTAGAGATCAAGAAAGGTAAAAGTTGTGGGCCTTAATGCCTGCAGAGTCACTGACACTAGAGCCAAGCCATTCAGTGCGATGAGCATTAAAGTTGATGAAAATAACAATATTGGCTGATGGATAAAGAAAGAGGGCTTAGTCAATATGATCAGAAATAGCATCAAGAAGAGTGCAGTCTTAGATAAAGAAGAGCAATATAGAACAATTTTTATGTAAATTCAATGTAAATGCCTAGGCCAAGCATGTGACTATTGGAGTCTTTACGAATTAAAGGAAGATAACCATCAACACTAAGATCACAAGATGAGACAGCTGAACTCAAATTAGTCTTACAAAGAGCAACTAGGTCTGGTGAACTTTGCAAGAGATCACCAGACCTAGTTGAGAAGACTCAACAGAAGAAAAGTTACTTCGAAGACCACGAATATTAGTGAATGATAGGTTTAGAGAACATGGTGATGATGATGGTTTTTTGAGTGTTATAGTTTTTGGTACTTTATTCATTTTTAAATTTGTTAAAGAACTTGACTCAAAGCATAGATTTAATTCAATACACTGTTTAATAGTCCAAGCAATTACCTCATTACTATTAATAAGCTATACCCTCAATAGGAGAAAATAGAATGAGTTGCCTAGTCATTAAAACAGAGACACAAGCAAAACCTATGCATTGAGTCAAGAAGATCCAGTATTCAACATCCTAAACTGGAAACAATGTATTAAAAATACATCTGCACCAGCCTTATAGATGAAAAAGAGATGGTATCTCAAAAAAAAATTTTATTGAGATATCATCTCCAACCTTTACTCAACCAAGGCAGGGAATGTTTTAAGTCGGAGTTGGTATCTCCTAGCTTTTGCCTAAAAAGGCGTATCCTAAAAGGCAGCTGGACATTAGGCAGATTATACTGGGTTACATGTTACCAGTAGCAGGATAACCAGACCTTTTAATATAGTTTAATATAATTCAATAATTTTATTATAATTTTTAATTTAAGAACTTTCAATATAGTTTAATAATTGTCCTACTTAATTTTTAGAACGTTTTTCTAGGTTTTTATAAGATTTTATAATAAAACATGAACTTAAATAAAATAAATAAAATGTGTACTCATATGATCAATTTAAGTTTTTATTTAAAAAAATATTTTATATACTTTACTAATAAATTGATGCATATTAAAATAAATTCTTCACTAAAACAAAAAATAATGCTGACATTAATAAAATCAAGCATAAATACCTTCACATTTTACATTCTTGGACCAAATACAAATCTTTATTTTTTGATCAAATAGCAACCCTGTCGGGCATTTATTTTCGAATATCAATCCTTCAGAGCAAGTAATATAGCTGTGACATGTGTGCGGATCCGGATAATTTCCATTTATTTTATCTTTACAATAATCAAGACTTATTTGGTTTTTATCACGAGGATTTGCAAAAGATGTTGTCAGGGATCTTTTATATGCTAAAGAACATTACACATCGTAAGTTTGTTAAAAAAGAGTTTGTTTAAGTAATAAAGTATATAGTTTAGATAAGGCTAAAAGCAACCAAAGAAAGAAATTAGATATGTTTTGCCCCAAATCCTAATTTAAAAAAAAATGAAAACAAAAATTAGCATTTTTAATTTTATTTCAATTCACCTCATCAAGGTCATGAAGGCCGCTACAGTCGAGAAAGCTACTTAAAGTAGCCTACTTTAGTTTTTGTTACAAATTTACAGTTTAAAAGGAGTGATTTTAAAGTAAAATTTATATTGTTATTTACAATTTTTAAGTAAGAGATCGTCCATAAATTACGCAACGCCGAACTTGTTAAAATATATATGAGATCATCTTTCGGTTTTGCGCGGCAGTTTGAAACCTTGTTTATAAACTTGATTTAATTAAAGACTCTGCGAAGGAAAACTTTTAAACCCTGTCTTTTGTCTATTATATAATGAGTTTTTGTGCAATTTCTTTTTTTTTCATTCTTTATTACAATTTAACAGCATGTCATTATAAAATTTACAAATTAAAGTAAAAAGATATATGAAAAACTACAAAAAATACTGTTAATAAAGAATAGGACTTGTAAGATCTTGTTAGTGAGAAGAGCTAAAATAAACATGATAAAGTTTCTCATAGTAATTAAACTTGCGATTAGCAAAAATCGAATCACATATACCTGAGGTCAGATGCTGTTTCAACACTAAACTTATATTTTTTAGGTTCTAGAAAAAATCCCGTTAAAAAAGCCCCCCGGAAAAAATCCCCCCGAGAAAAAATCCCCCCAAAAAAAATCCTTAACCCTAACCCTAACCCTAAAAAAATTTAAAGGAAATTAAGTGAAACTAGACGAATACAATATGAAAATATATATACTTTTTTTAATTATTTGATAGACTGCCTGCCCAAACCAAACCCTCAGTCCATGTAGCAGCACTCTGTTGCGAGTCAGGCTATTTTTCAGTCGATGTAGCAGCACTCTGTTGCGCGTCAGGCTATTTGTCAGTTGATGTAGCAGCACTCCGTTGCGAGTCAGGCTATAAGATAGTCGATGTAGCAACACTCCGCGCATGTTTTACAGTTAAAAAATAAAAGTTTTATTCTAAATAAACCTTTAAAATAGATAATTAAGAATTGGAGAGTTTTTTTTAATTATTATTTTTATCATAAAAATAATAGTCTTTAAAATATAATGTTTTGTTTTGCAAAAAAGTTCGCATTTTACATTATCGCAGCTCGCATTGCGCAGTTCGTATTTTACCGACAACCGAGGAATAGCGCATAAAATGACATTTTGATGAAAAATGAAGTATTTTATAAAACTATTTTGAATAAATAAATACAAAAATACAAACTAGAGAATAAAATCGAGTTAGCTAACTGGTTTATTAATCCAATTAACATTCCCCCAGCTAAGGATTTCGCATCCGGTACCATAGTGAAATTAACAAAAACTGTCAAGTCTAATTTAACTTTTTTAAAAACAATGGTATGCCTTGCCAGACAATGTAGTAAATAATACTTCATCAGTGAAAAAGTTTAAAACTAATTTAGACCGACATCTAAAACAGTTACCATAGCATATCATTTTCCGTAGCTGTTTTAATGCTGTTATACGAACTATCTTTGCTAGTTAATGACAAACTTACGGTTCATGTATTGTTCCACGTAACTTATTATTAATAATAATAATAATTTATTTGTTATTCTAGGTGGCCCAAGAAGTCCTAACGGTCTTGTCACAGAGCACCGCGGTGCATTTAACCAGAAAGTTCATTTAACCAGAAAGTTCACGCCTCCTTCCTAACCGTAAAGCTAAATATGTCCAAAGCTTGTTTCGTAGACCTGGATCTCCTGCTTATAGAGCAAGTGCTCTAACCACTGCGCCACCTCCAAACAAATTAAAATAATAACAGTAAAAGTAAAATTAAACAGCAAATCTTAGGGTCGTTTTTGAACATACCGTAAGTAGACTTCAAATAACTTCAGAAATTTTCTGACAGATAGAGCTATTCATTTTTTACATTTTGTGTATAAACAACTGCTTTTCTGTATTTTGAACTTGCAGCCACGTTTCAGACATTACAACCGAAGGTAAACGTATGAACTATTTAGTAGGTAAACGCATTATACAAAGTTAGTTAAATGGTTACGTCATAACATTACGTCATAAACTGATTTGCTGAACTTACTTTGCTTTTGGGAAAAAACGTTTATTATTTAAATGATTCAACGTGCATTTCAATATGAATGAGAATGGTTTTCAGTCACCAAAAGCTGATTTATTAATTTATCAACGAGGAAAAAATATAATCGAAGAAAGTACTCCAGTTTATTTGCAGTAAATGCCAGTAAAGCATTTGCTCCATTGTTAAGAACTTTTAAATATGCTCGTCTTCCAAATAAAGTTATAAATGCTGCTAAATTAGGATAGGGCAGAGCCGGCGCGAGTAGGTGTCACGTGGGAGGGGGGGGGGTGTGCCATTAAAAAAAAAAAAAAAAAGTCCTCGTTTTCCAAAATTTGCCGACTGCCATTACTACATTTGCCGACTCTCTAACCTATATCGAAAGGGTCGACATTTGCCGACTAACTAGTCTAAAAAGGTCCGATTTGCCGACTAAGGGTCCAGTTTGCCGACTAAAAGTCATTGATGGGGGGGGGGGGGGTGACACCCCCACACACCCCTATCGCGCCGGCCTTGGGATAGGGCATAGGAAAAATTGAAAATGGATGGATGACCGCAAGAAAAAAGCTTTGTTTGACACATGTAAAATTATATTTTTACCTAATGATATGTATCATAATAATTCTAAACCTGTAAAGTAGAAAATGTGCAAATTATAATTGATGTAGAAAGAGTTGGTTATAACACTGGAGCGGTAACTGCGGTAACAACAACAAACAGCAGTAACAATCGTACGTACGATTTGTACGTGAGTACGTACAAATCGTACGTGAGTACATGCTAAGTATCTGTGTCTAAAAACGGTACAAGACGAAACGAGACAAAACGATAAAAAAATATTATTTTAATAAAGCCTGTACGAAACGAAACAATTTTTATACAATTTTGCATAAAACGGTGCAAATCAATATTTTCTTGTTTCGTAAATAATATGGTACTAATCGAAACAATAATTTCTTGTATTGTAAAAACCGGAACCAAACGAAGAACTATGAGAAGAACTATTGCATTGATTTGTTTTTGTTTTTATTTTGTTTTTAACAAAAAAAAAAAATTTGAAAAGTTTTCTCGGGAAAAGTTGCTGCGTAAACAAAACAATAACAACAACAACAGCCATCAAAGACCACATAAAAAAGTTAAAGAGGTAACACTTAATTAGCTAATTCTGATATACCAATACATCATAAAAAACTACTTGATCTCGGTCCAAAGTTTTTCCCCAATCCAAAGTACATACCTTATTTAGATATTATAACAATGACTGGATCGTCTGCTTTAAAATTACAGTAAAACAAGAAAAAACTGAAGGAGTTAAACTAAGACAGGATGTTTTGAGAATTTTAAAAATGGTTAAGCCTATAAAAGTAATCTAAATAAAGGACGACGTAAAGCTCTTTATGAGATTAAGAAAGACATTAATATTATGATATACCCGTTTGATAAAAGATCTGGATTAGAGCAAACTAATTCTGATAGTGCTTTAATCAAAATACAAGAACATTTAGGATTAGTTTTACATCAAAATTTACCTTTGATGAAAATTTTTATTTGAACACGACATTTATGAACTAGAAGATTCTGGACCTATTGGTTTAGGACTTATGGTATTAGTTGCGGAGTGTTTTCTACAGTTTCACGAATGTAATGCTATTGCAAAAGCGATTTCCAATAATATTCAATTAAAGTCATTTAAAAGATATGTCGATGACTCTCATTCTCGTTTTAACTCTACAGAGGATGCAAAAAAACTATTAAAATTACTTAATAACCAACATAAAAATATTCAATTCAAAATGGAAACCGAAAATATAAATAACACGCTAAACTTTCTTGACATTACAAAATTAATAATAAAACTTGTAGGTACGATTTTAAAGTTTACCGTAAAGATGCGATGTCTAACTAATGTCCAAATCAAACCTAACTCATGCCATAATCCAAAAATTATAAACGGAGTTTTCAAAGGTTTTGTTTAATAGGGCATTATATTTATGCTCTTATAATAATATTGAACATGAGTTATTATTTCTAGTTGATGTTCTTGTAGAAAATGGTTATAAAAAAACAAGCCTGGAAAATTTTATAAAAACCACTAAAGAAAATTTACATAATAAAAAACAAAATATTGAAACTCAACATTCATCAATTGCATCAAATAATATTTTCTCTTTACCGTTGGTTCCAGGAATTAGCCCGAAGTTAAAAAAAGTTTTCAAAAAAGCAGGTTAAACACCAGTCTTAAAATCTCCAAAAAATTTACAACATATACTTACCATAAAAAATAAACCTGCTTTTCCTATAAATTCTTACCCAGGTGTGTACAAACTTCAATGCTTCTGCAAAAAATGTTATATCGGTGAAACAGATTAAAAATTTCATCTTGCATTTACTAACATCAAAAAATTACATACGAAGGAAAATGGGATTATTCAACCATAACAGAACATTTAAAAAATTGTCATGGCAATTTTTCATGGAACAATAAAAATACTTAAAAAGTAGAAGTTAATAATTTTAACTTAAAAGTGAGGGAAGTCCTTGAAATACAACGCAATAAATGCTCACCTTCGGACGGCGGTCTAAATCAGGATGACGGAGGTTACGTCATAACTTCCTTTTGGAAACCTATGTTTCGGTATTTAAATGAAAAGAAACTATTGCACTGATTTGTTTTGTTTTTATTTTGTTTTTAACGGGTTTTTGTATACATACATACATACATACATACATACATACATATATATATATATATATATATATATATATATATATATATATATATATATATATATATATATATATATATATACATATATATATATATGTATATATATATATATATATATATATATATATATATATATATATATATATATATATATATATATATATATATATATATATATATGTTTATATATATATATATATATATATATATATATATATATATATATATATATATATATACATATATATATATATATATATATATATATATATATATATATATATATATATATATATATATATATATATATATATATATATATATATATATATATATATATGTATATATATATATGTATATACTTGACAACAAGGGTAGCTATAATCCCTTGAAATATTGTATGAAAATTAATTTCAAATAAAAAGTTACATCCATATTAGAAGTTTTATTTTAAATAAGGTTAAATTTTTTCCAAAATGAAACGGTAAAAACAAGAAAAACTAATATTTTCGGCCAGATAGGGTTAGCATAAAACAAAAAAGTAATTTACTTTTATACTGTACCAATTTATCATAATATCATAATTTACCAATTTATCATAATATCATAAATTTTATATTGTACCAATTTATCATAAAAATCGAAAATTTCTGCATAAATTTTATGCAGACATTTTCGACTTTTACGAGAAATTAGTTATATTTAGACTTTCTAAATTAATTAATTTTGCGGAATATTGAAAGTATATACACAATAATCTCGTATTTATTAGGTTCTCTCCTTTATATAATAGAATTTAAAATATTTTATTCAAACAAAGATTGCTAACTCTTGTTAATACACATATAAATATATATGAAAATAATATAAGTTTATATACATATAAGTATATTATTTGTCTAAAGTTAAAAAATTATTAAAGTAAAACCTACCTACAGTTGCAAATTTTCTTAGATGCGTTAAATCTTATGGAAATGATGCTATTGCATTACTTTATTAATATAACTTTTAGTTAAACTTTCGTTAACGAAACTTTAAGTTAAGTATTAAACGCGCATTTACTGTGCTTAAATGTTAAAGTTCATGTATTGCTCGTGGGTGTGGGAATTGTGAAATATCTGTTTGGGGCGGGGAATTATGAAAAGTTCTGTAAAAACCGATACGAAACAAAACAAGTTTATTTTGTTTTGTAAATGACGATACGAAACAAAACAAAATTTTCTTGCTTTGTAAAAATACGATAAGAAAAGAAACAAGTTTTACTTGTTTTGTTTAAAATACGATACAAAACAATATGATATTTTTTTGTTTCTTAAAAACGGCACAAAACGAAAATTATCTTTTTGTACCGTGTTAAACCGAACTTTCGAGAGAAGACGCAGGTGCTTAGTACGTACTCACGTATCAAAATCTGCTACAACGTCTGCTTTATAATGTACATTATAAAGCAGACACTATAGCAGATTTAAATATACGATGAGTGTCAACAATATACGATTAGTGCGAAATACATATTATAACAATAGAAAACTGCATTTTAGTTTGATTAAAATATGCACATAAATAATTTAAATTTTTAATTAAATTAATAATTTCAGAGTGAGGATAATTTTAAACCAATCCTTAAAGTATTACATTTATGGCTGCGAAAGTTTATTTCCAATACATATCTACTTTTTTAGTAATCTAAAATACTATAAAAACCTTTGCTAAACTCACAGTAGGTATTGAATCAACTCTATTTGTATGTTTGCTACGTGCATTTTGTACATTTACAGCAAATTAAATTGCATCTTCTTAATTCCTGACATATATTTTATAGTTTCCAGTATTTTACAAATGATACAATATAGTTGCTTTAAAATTTTTGAATTTTTCCTTTTTTTTAAATTGTTATTTGATTTTAACATTTTTTGTTTTTCATTTATTACACGCAAAACATGTTCTTTATTTTATTGAATTTTTATTTTTATTTTTTGTTTTTTTTTTTATTATTATTTTGTTATTTAGATACCCAAGAAGACTTAACAATCTTGTCACAGAGCACCGCGGAAATGCATTTAACCAGGAAGTTCACGCCTACTTCCTTACCGTGACGCGAAAATATGTCCAGAGCTCGATTCGAACCTGGATCTCCTGCTCATAAACCAAGCGCAAGCATTGTCCCTACCTTCTTTGAGTCCCTGACTAATTATAAATTTAAAAAGTTAATATCAAGGTGTTTATGATGTTATTTATTTTTTACATTATTTAAATGAAAATTGTAATATAGCTTAATCAACGAAATAAAAAGTTAAAATAATAAAATATTAATAATGATATTTATTTTGATAATACCTAATACCTTTACAGTCAACATTGGAAGGGTCATCACAACTTTCTTTTATAGCATTGTACCATAAACCTTTTGGACATGCTTGATTGTAAGCCACTCCTCCAATACATTTAACAAAGCTACCGCATTTTTCAGGATTTAAATAAGTTCCATCTTTCAAATTGTTGCAAATGTTTTTATCTTAAATATATAAACAAATATTTAACAAACCCTATTTATATAATTATTAACTATTCTGAATAAAAATCACCAAATAACGAACAATCAACAAATAACGAAATATCTGCAAGCAACAAATTATCAATAAGTAACGAAATATCAACAAGTGGCGCAATATATACAAGTAAAGATATATCTACGAGTAAAAAAATACCAACTATCCAATCTGATTACATAGTAACAACCATTCTAAATTACTAAAGTTACCAAAGTACTGGGTTCATTTTAAACAAATATGTTTGGCAAAAGCGTTGCATATAAAAGTAACTTAAGTAATATAACGTTAGGAGATAAAATTACCAAGACTAAAACGTTTTTACTTTGATAGCGACTCTGGATATCAATCTGCTACTTACCTTCACATTTGTAAATTTGGTTCCATACGCACATCTCAAAGTCTGGATCAAAATTTTCGTTGTCAGCACATTCTCTTTGTATACCTTTTCCAATTCCTTTACAATAAAAATACTTTTTGCAATCACTAGGATGCTTAACTTTTTTGTTGCCATGACATCCTGTGACATTTGATTGTAAACTAGAATCTTTATTTTCTGTACCTAAAATATAAAGGTACAAAGGTTTATTTTAAAACAATTGTTTATTGTTTCATTTGGTGTTGTGTTATAAAATTGTTCTAAAATGACAAAAAACTCTTTTAGTTAAAATATTATTTACAATAATGGTATACCCATCTTCTCATTGAAGATTAGCTATTTCAAAATCCCCAGAAACAAGAAACTACAACAAGTATTATCATTTTTAAAATATGAAGATTTAATGTGTATTTTGAAAACACTGTAAGCACTCTTTAAATTTACAATTCTGTAGTTATCACAAAAAAAAGAGTTGTTGCAAAAAAATATTTTTTTAAAAAAGATCTGCTTCAAATTTAGCTATTTTTAAATCTATAAAATTGATATTACAGTGTTGCAGTGTTGCGTTTGCATGAATTTCTTCATGTTTTCACTAATAGTGACAATAATTGATAAAGTTGCAAAACTTAATGCAATAAGTGGCCTAAAAATTTGACGTAATAAAAATTCTAAGATAACTCATGTTCTCTCAAAGGTATTTTAAAAGTTTATCTGCCTTACTGCATTGCATATTATAAATGCAGTAATAGATTTTTCAATTTCTGATGAAACTTTTGCATTGTTTAGCAAGTTTTAAAAAGACAATGATTGTTATCATATGGAATTGTTATCATCAAAGCAATTCTATACTAAGTTCCATAAATTTTTCTTTATGTTAGTTTGAAGATGCTAAGCTGGTTTGACCAATTGGAAGCATTCAAAGAACAAGAATTGCTTTTATAAAGTATGGTTAGTAAATAAACAAACAGTCTATTGCACTCGGTTCTTGGCAGTGATGCGGAGTCCCAAAAAGGACTTTGGGTTAAAAAGTCACAAATTGTTCCAATAATCTAAAGAGATTTATGGACAAAAAGACTTTTAGGTTTAAAAAGACAATCAAAATTTGATCTTTATTTGAGTCCTTATGTATGATGGTGTCTTATTTATCATGGTATCCAGGACAGTGGGATAAAAGCAATAGGTTTCAAGTCATAAAATTTTAGGAATTTTTTTTTTTATTGCAGAGAATAGGTTACTCAACAACTTTAGAGATCCAGGACACCAGTGGCATTAAAAGTAGAGGTTTAAAGCCGAATTCCTTTTAAGATTCTGCATCCCTCGTTCTTGGAACTATTTGCAACTTTATAGTTATAAAAGATATCAAGAACTTTTGTTAATTTGGAAGATTAACGAGAGAGAAACTTATACAAATTTGATTTTTAACTTTTTTGAATAAACACTTTTTTAAATACTCGATGGCATTCAATTTAATCATATCACTTATTTCTAGTTTTGCAAATATTTCTAGATGTTTCACACCAAGCGTTGGGAGATGGCTAACCAGCTCAGTCCAATCAAAGTAAAACACTTGCAAATTTTTATACCTATTACTAAAGTGAAAACAACTATTCGAAAACAAAGTAATTTTAAAACTTGTTTTATGTTCTTAAACATTGGCGCCAGCAAGGAAGGGGGGTGCAAGGGCGCGCTTACCCTCCTGCTTGCATTTTCTAAACTTAGAAGAAAAGTTTCGTGCTTGTTACCGATCCGAGTGCCACAAAATTTGTTACTCATGTACAGTTTTGGTAAAAATGTTATTTTTTTGATTTTATGGCGATACGGTTTCGGTAAAAAAAAATATTTTTTTGTGATGTTTTTCTACTGTTTTGGAAAAAAGTTAATACTTGTTTAAACGGTTATAGAAAAATTATAAAATGTCAGTACTAAATTTTGTTAAAGTTTCAACTAAGATAATTGAACTTTTATAAAATTAATTTTGACAACAAATTATGCACAAAAATTTGATAAAATAATGAACTTTTCAGTAAGCTCAGGTTTTTCAAACGTTTTAAACGTTTTTAAAATGTTTAAAAAACTTATAAAAACGAATATTAACGTTTTTTAAACGTTTTAAAAACAATCTGTGCTTACTGGGTTAGATGATGATAATTAAAGAAATTTTTCGTTTGTTAAAATCTTTTAGGTTTTTTTAAACTTTCTCTAACTGAACTTTAAAATTTATAACATTTATTCTTTTAGTGGTTTTATTTACCATAACGCGTTAGATGATAATAAACTGAACTTTAAAATATGTAAGTAATAATTTCAGAAAAACTGAATTGTATTATATTAAATCTAAAGAAAAAAAACATAAAAAGGAATCATCGCAAGCACTATTTCTCAAACAAGAATCTGACAACCATAAAAGGAAGATACTAGGTTAAATTGTGACATTGAACATATGTAAAATGTACTATAAAAGTTCCTATTGACATTTTGTTTGATAAACTGATCTTTAACAGTCTTATTCGCTCTACGATATCAAAAGTGACATTTTTAAAATGGAAAACGTTAATTAAGGAATTTTTGGCTTACCCAGTATACTTTATAGTTGTCATATTCACCTAGATAAAAAGGTGCTTTGGGTATTTTGTGCTTTATTCCACATTCTGTTTAAAGAGAAATTTAAGGTGTCTTCATTTCTAACCCTTTTACAAAGTATTTTACTAAATGTGCCAAAAACCTGCTTAGCATGGCATCCTGGGACCTAGAGACAATTGAAGAAAATTAAATAAAAATATTTATCAGATAGATAACTCAGTAAAATAAGTTTAAAAAAAAAACAGAAAAAAGGTGTACCCTTTAATTTCTAAAATCTTGTTTGCGGAACAAATAATTTGGCCTTACATAGAAAAGTAATAACAAAGGAAATATTTAACAAATTTATGAGTACAGAATTGAAAGAAGAGACAGCATTTAAAAAAATCTTTTTAATACAGTTGCTGTAAATACCAAGATATTGTAAAAATAATCCTGTTGGATTCTTGGTCATAGTTGATAAAACAGCAGATACTTCAGCAACTGAACAGTTATCATTGAGAGGCTTGATAAAACATCTAGAGAGAAGGCTGAGTAAAGAATTTCTTGGATTCTTGCTTTACGCTGCCACAGTATCTTATTTTATCATTCAAAATTGAAAAATATTTGATCTTCTATAATAATTCGCACGGCAAAGGGTATGATGGTGCTCCACAATGGCTGGGAAAGAAAGTGGTGTTTAGGAAAAATATCTAAGAATTTACCCCAAAGTTCACTGCGCCTCACATAGACTCAATCTCGTAGGTAATGATCAAAAGAGTGTTACAGTGATACGAAATACTATTAACACTATTAAAGCATTTACTCGAGCAAATGAAGGTACATAGGAAAAATGGTATGTTTTCGGTTGTAATTTACGATAAATTAATAGTAAAAGAATTCAGGAAATTACCTACTAAACTTTAATTATTTTATACTTTAAATATTTTATTAGTATAACCTTTCTTGTTGTTATGGGAGATATGAATTTTTGTAAATTAAGCTTTAAGGCTTTCCAGACAAATAAAAGTATACTTTTAGAGAGTCATTCAGATCCAGATCAGATGTTATTTTTTTTAACACTGATGAAATAATTAGCAACATATGCCCTTCTTATTATAATTCCGATATTTCTAATCTTTCTGCTGATATAGATATTAATGAGTTCTCTATTTTACACTTAAAAATTAGGAGCTTCCAAAAAAATTTTGATAAATTTAAAGATTTTTTATATAGTGTTGAAATTAATTTTAAAATTATTTGTCTGACAGAGACGTGGTGTCGAGATAAACAAGTGGAAAAAGATTCGAATTTTCAACTACAAAACTATAAAGTTATTCATCAAGTTAGAAATTCTGAGACAATAGGTAGAGGAGTATGTATTTTTATTCACACTTCTTTAAATTTTAAACCACTAACCAAATTTAGTGTAATTAGTAATGATTGCGAATCATTAACGATTGAAGTTATAAATAAAATTACTAAAAACACCATTGTACATGTTGTGTACAGACCGCAATCATTGTACATGTTGTGTACAGACCGCCATCATTGTACATGTTGTGTACAGACCGCCATCTGGCAATAACAAGTTTTTTGAAAAACACTTTAAAAATTTAATTAAAAATAAAATTTTATGAGGCAAACGTGTCTTTTTTGTGGGGGGTTTTGATTATAATGTGCTCGATCACGACACAAATAAAAATGTAAAAAATTTTATGAACATCATATTTCAAAATGGTTTCATTCCAACAATAAATTAACTAACACGAATTACTAGGAATAGCGCAACCTCAATTTGGTCAAATTTTAATTAATGAATATACAAAAAACAAAATAAAAACTGGAATAATAATCTGATATATCGGATCATTTTCCAATATTTTTAATCGCACATAAGGTTGTTGAACACACCCCTCAAAAAAAAGTTATTATTACAAATCAAATATATAATGATATTTCTATAGAACTTTTTAATAATTCTCTATTTTCTGAAAACTGGGACGAAATTTTGAAAATTCAAAACACAGATACTGCTTATAACAGTTTTCTTCGGATATTCAAAAAACACTATGATAATGCTTTCCCAGTGGTAACAAAAATTATTAAAACTAAAACATTTATAAACCCTTGGATTACACCAGGAATAATAAAATCATCAAAAAAAAAAACGGTAGTATGAAGTGTTTCTGATAAAAAGAACTTATGAAAATGAATTAAGGTATAAAAAATATAAAGGTCACTTTGAATCAATTATTAAAACTTTCAAAGAAGTTATGCTATTCAAATAAAATAATAAAATTTAAAGGCGATACTCAAAAAATGTGGTTAAAGAAGTAATTGGAAAAAAAACACTTAAGCTAAATGGTCTTCCAAAAAAACTAAATTATCATCATCAAGATATAACAAATGAATCTATAATTGCTAAAACATTTAATGAGGTGTTTGTCAATGCAGGTTTAAATTTAGCATCAAAATTAAAACACAGTGAGTTTAACAAGGAGAAATATTTGACTCCTAGCAAATCAATAATGGAAAATGCTGAGTTAACAGAGAAAAAGTTATTAGATGCTGTGCATTCATTAAAATTAAACAAAGCACTAGGAGTTGATAATGTTAGTAGTAAT